AAAAAATTATATTAGTAAACCAAATATAAATTACTTCGTTATTGTACCTAAATTAAATTATAAAAAAATTAAATTAAAAAATTACATAAAAATGAGAAATTTTAAATAGTTAATTTGATACTAATATCGATATATTTTTGTCAAATTTTTATGATATCTTCAAACTTATATTTCATTCAAAAATAAAGCATCATCGTTTTCTCAAAATCATATAATACCATATTATAACATCAACTGAGATAAAAAAATAAAATAAAATATTAAAATCAAGATATATCTCGCAGCATTGCGCGAGTACACTTCTAGTATATATATATATATATATATATATTATTTGTGAACCCGTGCAATGTAACAGGAAACATGAATATAAACGATTTTAAATATCTGATGGTTTTGTTTAAAAAGAATTTAAAACATTACAACGCTAAAATGTGCTTAATCTCTACAATTTAATATATTTGAATAGATAAAAGTTATGGTTCTAGTTACCACGGATAATCAAAAATTCAGATCACATCTTATTATTTCCATAGTGCATCCGGTAGACTTTATAAGGTTCTCCAAAGTAACATAAAATAGTGGGAACATCAACCACAAACACAAAAAATAATACAATTAAGATTAATTAAACCCCCTACAAAAAATTCATACTGAAAGGCTACAAATCAACAAATGTTAAGAGGAGATGGAGTTGGAAACTCCAGGTGAAAGAATCTAGTACTATTCAACATATAAAAACTTTCATGTCGAAAGACTAACCACTTCAAGAATTGTTGTCTGAGATGAAGCGAATCTGAAGAATCGTCACCTCAAGGTGCTGCTTCCTAAATGTATTGGTTGTCTGACTTGGGGCTCCTTGTGGACACAATAGCTTGTATGAAGAAAGATTTAAAACAACCAACAAGAAAATGATGACCGTAAAAAAGCTTTAAACTAACAAACAGTTAAAAGGGAAACATGTAATGAAGGACCTTTTCAGTAACCAGATGCCATATTTTGATTATACAAACAAATCTTGCAACGAAAAAGGTTCTCGTCCTGCAAAAAGTTACGCTTAGGGACCATTTAACTAACTTTTACTGAGTGAGCATGACAAAGAACGAGAATGTACCGGTAAGAGGCATAGCAAAGACTGACATTCTTACCCAATAAGTGAGAGAGAAGACTTTTGCCCGGTTAACGCTTACAGACAATCCATTTTAATGGCCGAAAATATAATTTGGTAAAGAATGTCTAAAAAGACATCCATTACAAAAAAGAAAAGAGACATCCAAAAGACTGCAAAAGGTTGTAAGCAAATTAGGATCGATTATAGGACCCAAATTAGGGACTGGTTCATGATTTGGAGGGTTTTGCAGGACCGAAATAGGAACCGGTATTTATTATCCAACAAGCCTTTTAGTTTTAAATCAATTATATATTTTGACAAATAAAATTGCCCAATACGAAAACCATCACGATTGGGGAAGGTTGATGAGTTCAATGAAAAAGAAATTGTTAAAATATTTTATGAGCATCTCATTTGTTTTTCTTTGTGTTGCGGTGTTAAACCGGTATTTAAATGTTATGGGTGTTGAAGTTTTAATAACACAAATATATGTGGCCTTTGGTTTAGATACGGTTACGGATAAGTTTTTTTTTGCAATGGAACAAAAACGTTTGTTTAATCGTAGTTTTCAAGATTTATTTGATCATTACAAACATTTTTATGGAGGAGGAAACCAACAATAAAACTCTTCAAGTCGTGGGTTTGCGAGTTCTAGTTCTTCTTCTGGTGGTCATCGACAAAGTCGGAAATAGTTGATGACTAATTTAATGAACGAGATTTTAAATGCATCAACTAAAAAAAGTCGATTTGATAACGATTTAGGTGAACTAAATATGTATGTGCATACTAACTTTATGGCCGCATGCCCGAAAATATGTCGAAGATTTTGAAAAAAAAAATTGATCTATTAGATTTTTGGAAACAAAAACAACCTCAATTCCCGGTTTTGGCATGCATCGTACAATTCAAACTAGTACCATAGCTTCGGAGCCAGCTTTTTCTCTTAGTAGCAATATCATTTCCATACGCCAGACAAGACTAAGCCCGAAGTCCATTGAGTGTTGCATTTGTTTGAAGGATTATTTGGATAGCGTTGATAGAATTCAACACACGACATCGTTAGATATGGAGATTGAAGCAATGGAAGAAAATTTGGGAGAAAGTGAAATCGTCATGGGACTAAGCACGTCGGCAACTACCGATACGACGACACTTACTCACAATATAACGATGATGAGGAACTCGACATTGATGACCAAGAGGTTATCTATACTACCTTATTAATCAAATTTGATAATTCTCTTCACGTCTTAAAAAGTACAAAATCTAAAACACAAAGTACTAATTTTTAAAGCTAAATTACTT